GTACGCGGGCCTCTCACTGTTGTGGCCTCTCCCGTTGCGGAGCACAGGCTCCGGACGCGCAGGCTCAGCAGCCATGGCTCACGGGCCCAGCCGCTCCGCGTCATGTGGGATCTTCCTGGATCGGGGCACCAACCCATGTCCCCTGCATCGGCAGGCGGACTCTCAACCACTGCACCACCAGGGAAGCCCTTTATAACGTTTTTGATGAGTGAGCTGTCATTTAAGATACCAGCTGCTTCTCTGCCCAGGTAGGCGCAATGCCCTTGGAATGCCTGTGGAACATGCCTTCTTTGATTTTCAAGAGTCAAAGTGTAGTCCTACACTCAGGCAAGTAAATGTCCACAGAGTAAAACTACTTTATTTGGTGGTTTAAAAAAAAAATGGGGCTTCCCCGGTGGCGCAGTGGTTGAGAATCTGCCTGCTAATGCAGGGGACACGGGTTCGAGCCCTGGTCTGGGAGGATCCCACATGCCGTGGAGCAACTAGGCCCGTGAGCCACAACTACTGAACCTGCGCGTCTGGAGCCTGTGCTCCGCAACAAGAGAGGCTGCGATAGTGAGAGGCCCGCGCACCGCGATGAAGGGTGGCCCCCGCTTGCCACAACTAGAGAAAGCCCTCGCACAGAAATGAAGACCCAATACAGCAAAAATAAATTAATTAATTAATAAACTCCTACCCCCAACATCTTCTTAAAATAAAAAAAAGGGAATTCCCTGGCAGTCCTCTGGTTAGGACTCTGCACTTCCACTGCAGGGGGCATGGGTTCGATCCCTGGTCGGGGAACTAAGATCCTGCAAACCATGCAGCGTGGCCAAGACAAACAAAAAACCCCGAAAAACAGAAAAACAAAAAAAAAGGTCCATCCGCCCAGTAACCAGCAGATACTTTTTGCAAAGGGGTCAAGGAACCACCCAGGAAGAAAAGCACAAGATCCAAACTTCCCTTGAGAATCAACATTATCAGACCCTCTGATGGCCCAAGATGGCCCGACTGAGCTTACCCTAGGGGAAAAGACCCCTGGCCACCGCCCCCCAGCTCATCACGAGAGAGGAGGAACCTGGACTGGTGTCCCTGACTACGGGGTTCCCGGGGAGAGCTGGTTCTGGCACAGAGGGGGCCTGAGACTGCAGCTCTTCTTACCCAGTCGGCCTGGCAAAGGGGCGGGCCGTGGAAATAAAGGCTGTGGGTGTGACAGTAAACTGGGGATCAGGGGCCTTGGAGCTCAGGGGCAGAGGGACCTCCCCTCCCCCAGGTGGGAACAGTCATTTCCAGCAGCCACATCAACTGGCAGCAAAGCAACATCGGCAGAAAGCAGAGGCCTAGTCTGGGGCTGAGCACGTGTCTCGTTGCCCCAATGATGTTACTGCCTCCATGAATTGAGGAAGCCCTGGGACCTTGGAAAATGCATCTGGGGGTGGGAGGGGCTGGGGTTTAGAAAGAGGGCTGGTGAGACAGCAGGCACGGGGCTGGTTATACCTATTTCCCCTCCCTAACAACCTGTGGAAGTGATAATGGGGAAGAACTCATCCAACCATTTCCGGGGAGAAGGGATGTGCCCAAAGGGACCCAGGGAGACTCAACCATTCGGTGCCTTTTTTCCCCTCATCTGTAGAGTGGCAACAATGAACAGCCCTGCACAAGACCACTGTAAGGATTTAATGAGTTCATCCACATGAAATAGTTGCCACATGGTTAATGTTTAAAAAACATTAGCTTGTGTTAATATTATTGAAAGGAGTTAGTCAATTTTTTTAAATGAAATTCTGTTTAATAAAACAATATAAGAGAAGGCCAGAAAGTAGGACTGGAGAGAACAGAGGTTTCTAAATTGCTTCAGTGTCAAAGAAAACCATCACACTTGTGACCACCCTGGGCCTCACTTTCCCCATCTGTAAAAGAGAGATAATAACAGTATCCACCTTAGAGGGTTGGTGTGAGAGGTAAACGATGCAGTGCACATAGGCACTCAGCACCAGGGTACGGAGGGAGGCGATACCTGAAGGGTTCAGCCTAAGGGTGCCTCCACCTCCACTTCAGCCTCCTTTGGTCAGGTGAGGGCTGGGCCGGAAGGGCTTTGCTAAACTGCCCAGCGGAGGCCTCTGCAGCGACTCCGGCCTCCTCAATGCTGAGCACTTTCTGACTTGCCAGGCACTTTAACATGTGGGGCCTCATGGGGTCAGAACATGCACCTCCCAGGGTGGGGCTCTGCCTAGAGAGGGCGAGGTCCAGGGCAAGGGCTCCCTCTCGGCCTCACGGGCAGCAGGCAGGGGCTGAGATGACCAGCTTGGACTTGTTGCCGCCAGAGCCCGAGCCCTCACACCGACTACCTATCCTAAGAGTCAGGGCAGGGAGAAGCTACATTTCCTCCCGCCTGTCTCCCACCCCGCCCCGTAGGAGCACTCAGGTGCTTCTCTTCATATGCCCAAATCTTGGCTTGGTCTGATGTCTGACCCGCTCCGGTACATCCGCGCTCCCCCCACCATCTCTCCAATTCTGGCTGCTCACCTGGCTGCCGTCCTTGGCTGACACGTCGGCCATGTTGTTTCTCCGGGCCTGATGCATGGTCAGTGCGGCCCGAGTGGCCCCACCAGCCACGCCCACAATGCACTGGGTCGGGAAAGGGAAGAGTGAAAGTCAGAGTGGCCATAACCTGCTGCAACACAGGAGTTTCTGTGGGTGAGCCAAATAAACGGCTCAAACCAGTTTAAGAAAACTAGGCCTCAGGCCACCCTGCAGCAAAACCCTGAATGCCGTCCTCGGTCTCCTGTTCTCACCCCGCATTTCCACTAGGCCCACCTCCCCTGTCTTGCTCCAGGAGAAAACTGAAGGTCTGCCTGTCACACCACCCTGTGGACCCGGCCCCAAGGAAACTCACTTTCTCCCCGCAAGGTGGAGGCCCACAGACCATTCTTAGCCCAGAACCTCCCCAGCCTCCAACTTCTGCTTTGGCTGCACCCTCCCCCTTGCAGAGCCAAGTCTGGTTTCCAACTTGGTGCTTACATTCTGCCTGCCTGGAACTAACTCCACTCTCTTCCTGCCCCAGTCGAGGCCTAGCCAAGCCTTCCAGGCCAGTTCAAAACCCACACCAGTGGCCCTGACCTCCTAGGGCTCTCCCTCTGCGATGGGAGAGCTCATCGATTAGGGTCCCTGACTTCGTTCATGTTCATCCAATCTCTTTTAGATGTCAGAATGTCAGATACAGATTTAGGTGCTGTGAGAGACTTCAGTACAACCCCTGCCCTAATGAAGCTTATAAGTCATTAGATGGTAAACAAATAAACGAGTTGTTACATAGGCAGTGTTTGTTTGAAGGTAAGAGGAATGTGGATCAAAATGAGGCTGGAGTCATGGGGGGGGGGGACCTGATCACATAGACCCTACCAAGCCTTGTAAGGTCTTTATACCAAGAGCAATGGGCACAGGGAAGTAACCTGATTTGGTTTCCACTCTAATAAGGACTATGGGGTTGCTCTGAGAAGGACTGAAGAGGGGTGAGAATAGACGCAGGGAGATGACCTAGGAAATAACTGTGCTTTTTCAGCAGCAAGGAATCACCAGGTGACATGGGGATGGAAGCATGAAAGGATGGGAGAGATTTAAGAGGGCAAATAACAGACATGAATGGAGGTTTAGCTGAGGGTGACAGGTAAAGGGGGAGGAGATGAAGGCATGGATGACAACCAGGCTTCTGGTTGGTGCACCTCAGGGATGGAGATGCGGGAACTCTAGGGAGGGGTGGGAAGGTGGGGAAGGGGAAGTTCATGGCCCTGTTCGAGTCCCTTATTCGACAGACGAAGAGACTGAGGCCCGCAAGGTGGAGCTTAGTGCAGAATTTAGGCAGAGGTCACAATCCTTGGTTTCTCTGTGGTCTCCTGCCCTGGAGGGGGAGGGGGTGCTCATGGCCTTTAGTGCCTGGGCCAGGGAAGCTCAGTGGCCTCCACCACAAAGAACTGTTCCTAAAATCCTAAATATCGGTAGTGCCCAGCAGAGAAACACAAGTGATTTTGAACAGATGGATGGGCCTTTAAGACGGGTCTTACATATCTTCCCAAGACTCTTTACTCTGTGCCAGGTACTTAACCCTGTGCGGAAGACAGGCTGAGCTCTTTACCGAACCTTGCTAGGCCTGTTTCCTCATCTGGATGAGGCCAACTTGAAGGAATCATGAGGGTGAGCCGCCTGGCGGAGAAGAGCTTGGATTCACCCCAATCACCCCTTCAGCCTTGCTGTCCGGTCTGTGCCCTGTCTTGCCACTGGACCTTGACCTGCACTGTTCTTTCTGCTCAGAATGCCGATGCTGTACCTCACACACACACTTCAGGACCCAGCCCCGGGGAAGACCTTTCCGCATCCCTGGACCAGGCCAGATTCCCTGCTGAACC